CTTTTTTTTTTGGTGGAAGCAGGCTTTCGCAGTAACATGACCATGATTAACTGTTTTATTTCCTCTCTGTCCTCTCTGTGCATTCTGTATTACTTGAAACCAATTTAGTTTAAATGAAGTATGTTAGATCAGATGACCAAGCATTAGCAACTAATGCTGATTACAGTAAACCAGCCTATAATGACCTTCTCTTGATGAGGAAGAGGGCATAGCCCAGCCACAGTGTTCCCAGCATCAGCAGCAGGCAGAGAATAGGGCGCTCCCTGGTGCACAGAACCATTGTTGCAGGCAGTGAGATGCCTCCGTTCTCTGTTCCGTTCACTCCCTGATGAAGTATCACACCCAGACCATGCAGTTCCTCTGTGCTTCCGTTGACTAGTGTAAGGCCATGATAATATTTATGATATTTATGAAGAAAAGAGAGATATAGTGGACAGCAATTAAGTGAATCATAAATACATTTTTTTTTTTCTATTTTTTCTAATGCACCCAGAAACAACAAATTGGTCATAATTTCCAAATGTGGGTTTTCCAAATGCATTAGATTTTTCTGAAACATAAAAAGAGATCTTAGGCAGAATGTTCATGCTGCTCTTTTCCATTCAATGAAAGTGAATGGAAACAGGGGCTCTTCTGAAGCAATAATAATACCAAAATGTAAGTTACCCTATTATAGGGGTGTGCAATAATTATCATCTGCGATAATATCATAATCATAATAGTTGTTTTAGTGATATGTGAGCTGACATTATGGAGTATGTCACTTTTGTTTGCAAAAAACAAACAAAAACACGTCTTGAGAGTCTAAAAGCATTCACTGTGTGATAAAGCATATCAGAATGCAGTTAATATGCCCCTATAAGTCAAGATATGAAAGCAAAAATATCCCTGTATGGGTTTTTTGTTTTGTATATTTGTATGTATATTTACATAGTTAAGTAATATCACACAAACAACATTACTGTGTGAGTGTGATTGCAAATGTGATATTAATTTTATACAACAGTTCAACAAACAAGAAGCTAATATTGAGTGAGTTACATTTTGGACACAATATTGTCTGTTTTTTTCTGTTTTGACAATGAAAATAGCTCCAATCAAAGCCGGAGCAGAACATTTGTGCATCTAAGAGCAACACTGCGGTGTTTCGTTTCCGAATGAATCTGTTTTTTAATTAATCATTAATCAAGTCAATGATTCAATGATCCATTCATAAAGTCAGCCAGTTGCTTCATTTCTAAATGAATCAGCCGTTTTGAACTAATAATCTGAATGAATGAATCAATTAATAATTAATTAAGACAGGGACGGTTTTAGTGTCATATTTATTTATTCATCACTGGCCTAAACCAGCCATGGTACCAACACAAAAACACACTCAGCAGAATATTGTTTAATTATCCCTATCGAAAAATCACAATAAATATATATATATATACTGTGTATATATATAATTTTTTTGCCAATTTCGCACATGTGTGACCCCCCTACCCTATTATTTGCTGAAAACAAGTAATACGGGTAACTTTTATGTTACTCTATGTATCTTTTTATTATTTTTGGAATTTAGCAGCCCCAGTTTCGATTTACTTTCACTGAATAGAGCTGGAAAAGAGCTGCTTGAACATTTTGCTTTAAAGGGGTCATATGATGCGATTTCAAGTTTTCCTTTCTCTTTGGAGTGTTACAAGCTGATTGTGCATAGATAAGATCCCTGAAGTTGCAAAGACTAAAGTCTCAAACCCAAAGAGATATTCTTTATCAAAGTTAAGACTCTGCCATGCCCCCCTAAAACGGCTCGTTCTAACACGCCCCCACATATCTACCTCACTACGTGGAAATATTAGCATAATGCCGCCCAAATGTTCACGCAAAGAAAGAAGGCGTGGTTTCAGTAACCGCAGTTAGTGTTGAAGCAGCATGTCAGGGAGACGCTGTGTGTTTCTAGGCGAAAGCAAAAGCACTTTATTTGGCCTTCCGAAAGTAGATGCATTTAGGAATCTTTAAGATTACTTACAACAGAACAGCAATGCATTTTATGAACGACCGTTTCGTGAACCTAGGAGAAGAGGTAATTCTGACTTTGCTATGAATATCTGGCGCTTCTGAATCAGCTACTGTTTTG